CACATGCAAAGTAGTAAGCAAGATGTCACTTGTGACATCATTGCTTACTACGTGTGAAATCTGTGAATGATCAGAGAGGTCACATGGTACAAGGTTATTCACAACAGCCTTGTACCATGTGACAAGCTGTGACCAATCACAGCTCACTTAGTACTTCTCAATGACTGCAAGAATGCAGACAGAAAGAAAGAGAAATGATTGCTTTTACATCCTATATGGGTGTAAAAGCAATCAGTGTAAAAAAAAAAAAAAAAAAAAAAAAAAAATCACCCCCCACAAGTGTCACCATGGTGACACTGTACTGCTAGGGTGATAGTATGTAAAAAAAAATAAATAAAAAATAATAATGTAAAAAAATTAAATAAAATGTTTAAAAATTATAATTTTTGGTTATAAACTAATTTGGATTTTTTTTTTTTATTACTAAAAAGATAACGGAATAAATTTTGGCCAAGATTTATGATGAAATATTATTTATTTGCAAAATTTAAAAAAAAAAAACACTTTTTTTTTCCCAAATTTTTGGACTTTTTCAATTACATAGCAAAAAAAAAAAAATCCCAGCGGTGAATAAATACCACCAAAATAAAGCTTTATCTGTGTCAAAAAAATGGTAAAAAAATTATTTGGGTACAGTATTGCATGACCGCGCAATTGTCATTCAAAGTGTGTTAGTGCTGAAAGCTGAAAATTGCCCTGGTCAGAAAGGGGGTAAAAGTGTCCAGTCTGGAAGTGGTTAAAACCTTTAGACCCATATTGGTGATCCTTGGTGTGCTGGTGACATTCTTCCTTGCTGATTTTGTTCGGTTTCAGCCAACGATCGCTGCAGCACCCACTTATACACACAGCCATTTTTAACGCAGGAGCATGTGCGTTTGGATTGTACACTTGAATTATGTGAGTAAATCTCCCTGATAGGGACATAGACGGCAATAAAAACATTACAAGGGGTCTAACCTTTTCTCACTCTTTTAAAAACGTAAAAAAAGGTTTTGCTTAGAGATGCACTTTAATGGGGGACTTACCAACTACTAAATGTCAGGCTCCAGAATTACAAGAGGATTGATTCGGGACCTCTGTGCCCCCAGCCTCAGCTCTGTATATTTGTATATCATGAGCTTCAAAGGGATGGCCTGACATCTTATTAGATAATATTGTTAGTGCCTCCATTATTTTTTCAGCCCCCATTTGTTTATTCTAGTTGATGCCATGACTTGACGTTACTTTGAATAGACCCATTCTATCTGCGCCCTCTTAAAATTCTGATTCATGAAATAAATTGTCCCTTTTTTCTCATGCAGGTGGTTTCAGTGTTGTCATTGATATGTTCTGGAGTCCTCTGGAAACCTACATGATCCCTGTGCTATCTATAGATCACTATTTTTAGAACCAAATTACTCACAGATTTCCCCAGTCACCAGTACACTTCCATACTGTGAGGTCATGGATGGATTCCCGTTTCAGATTCTCCCGTCTCCCCACACACACACACACACACACCCGACCCATGTCACCTAATTTCCAGGAAAGTAAAATAAACCCCCAATAAAGTGGATGTGTAGTCTTTTCAATTATTTTTTTGTAGCACTACCCTCTTGAGGTCCCCTGAATTTGTTTTGGGTCCCCCTAAACTCTGCATGGCCAGACCACACACATTTTCCACACTTGCACACTTGTAGTCAGTAAACAGTCCTTGAGATGGTTTTTAGTTATTTTTATTAAGGGGTTAACAACTTGGATGGGGTCTAGGGGTATATGGGATGCTCAAGGAACTGCAAACTTGAGGACAACCTCTTAGTAACAATACTGTACAAAAAAAATGTGGATCCAAAAAATAGCAACTGACTCTGATAAGGAGCACTGAAGTCCCCTTGATGTACCTCCTCAGACTCCAGATGAATCCTTCCTCTTCACCTGGCTGCACTGAGGGTATCCCTAGGCAAGGGATTCCAAGATCTAACAGTGATGCAGTCCCAAATGAGAACTAGTTGGGTTTTGCACCTGACCGCCCTCTCCCTTTATCAGGTCCAGGGGGTGTAGAAGTACTCACACTGTCCTGTCACCGTGGTGGTTGGTATCTGCTTTCAGGCCTTTCACTGGGCTGGCCCCTTCCTGGCTGATAGGTTGTCCTCCCTAGGAGATGGTGGGACAGTGGAGATCCTTCTGTCCAGCAACCAGCATGAAGGTAAGCTCCCCTCCCTGGGGCCCACTCCCAGGCTTCACACTCTAGCCTTCCTTTCAGTCTATCTTCCACCTGACTCCCCCGCTGCTCAGGCTCTGACACATTTAAGGGTTGTCCTTGGACACCATGCCCAGCCTCCTGCCATGGGATTGGTCAAGTTCCCCTAAACATGCAAATCTGGGCCTCCTCCCCTCCTCTGCTGCTCTTCCAGAAAGTTCTCTGAGTTTCCTAAAGGGTCGGAGGACTCCAGAAGCCCTGACCTGTAGAGCCTTCCAGCTTGTGGTGAAGTGAACTCCTGCTCACTCCCAAGCTGACTCACCCCAGGCTGCTTCCCAGCCTCGAACTAACAAACACAATGAACATGGCTACCTAGAGAGTGCTTCATCTGGATATATGTGTAAAAAGGATCAGCTTATTATAAACAATGCTATAGATGTAGCTAATTGTTGAAACCTTACTTCTTTGTATAGATTGTAATTTTGTCTGTACAAGGGGATGCTGCACAGTATCTCTTTCTCAGCCTGCTTGATGTCCAGAATATTAACAAATCTGTGTCCTTTTAAGGCATTTTTTCATTTTGGAAACTGCCAAAAGTTGCAGGGTGCTAAGTTAGGGGAATAAGGTGGTTGATGAAATTTTGGAATACATTTTTCACCTAGGAACTCATGAACGCTTAAGGCATCATGTGCAGGAGCTTTGTCGTGGTGGAAAATCCACTTGTCAGGCCAGAGTTTCCATCTTTTCCTTGTTGTAAGAGAGATAAAGTTTCACTTGCACTTTTCCCAATTTTGCAAATGCAAATTTTGATGTTAATCCATTGCTCCAAATTCATGTCATTTATTTTCTGCCAACAGTGCAATGTACACGTATGTTATTTCTCTTTCTGTCCGCAAAAACTGAGTCAACTGGAGTGCAACCCAGACGAGTTCAAGTTAGAATACTGTATGTCACAACACGGAGGAGTGTGAATGGCTGTGTGACTCACCACCATAGTGCTCCACCGTGGGCATTCCGGGAATTAAATTGTTACACCTCATATATAGGGGAATCTTCAATACTTAAAAAAAAAATAGCAGTGCGCACTGGTCTAGTGCAACACCTTCAATGCCATAAAATGTGAAATATTGTTTTTAGGGATGCACCAAAATTTTGGTGGCCAAAATGTTTAGTCCGAAAACACCCCTTTCAGCCATCGGCCGATATGGAAAAAAAGCACCGATACAGGTGCCGTAAAAAACGCTCACCTCTGCTGCCCCTCGCCGCTGCCGCCACTCGCGGATTGGGGAGCATAATGGATTGGACTCCGATCCATTATGCTCAATCCGCAGATTCGATCCATCCTGCGGGGATCGTCAGCATGCAACCTATACGGGGTGACACCGGACCTGCTCCACGAAAAGGTAAGTTGTAAAGCAAGCCGACGATCCCCGCAGGATGGATCGGATCTGCGGATTGAGCATAATGGATCGGAGTCCGATCCATTATGCTCAATCTGCAGATCCGATCCATTCTGCTGGGATCGTTGGAGGGGGTGTCACCAAGTGTTACAGACTGGGTGACACCAACCCTAGGGATGCCCCTGACTAACAGTACATGATATTGGGTAGGAAATAGCTGACACGTTTCGAGGTCAAGCTCATCTTTTTTTGAAGGAGCCACGTGGAAAATTGTTGACTGAACAGCTCCTGCATCCAATCGGATGGAGGAACTATTCATGTATTCTGATTCATGGTGCTGCAGCTGGAGATTCGTCTATCTGCACTGTTAGCGTGGAAGGAAGAATCTGTTTGATTTTTTGAACAAAGAAATCTAATAATGTATTGTCAGCTTTATTCACTGTACTGTATCTTTAAATGGCAGTGTTATCACTCTGTGGAAGAAACACTTCCCCCTCTTCTCCTCTCCCTAACCTAGGGGGAGGTGTTTTATAGTCCACAGAGAAAACTTGGCAGAGTTGATTACACTGTTTGAAATAACACTACAGAGAGCACAGGAACTTTAAAGTGTATATATGGTCAAAGTTTAAAATTATTATATTATGTTCCACATTGTATTTCAATTAGCCTACTCCTATTAATCTTGAACGATCCTGAAGTCTGCAAACATACTCTGTAAAGATCCCCACACATTTACTTCCTTGAATTCTGTGACACGTAGTCACTCTGCCCTATGGGTAGGCACAGCTGTGTCACACATTTCACAGAGCCTGCCTTCTGAACTACAGAGGTGCTGAGAGGAGGAATTTCAGGAGGTGGAGTATGTACAGGAGTCGCTGCTTGGTACCATGGGATATGTAGTCCTTAGAAATGAGGAGAAGCTGCAAAACATGCTGGGAATCCAGGAAGTTGTGGAAAGCGCTGACCAGCAGACAGGTGGAACTCAGAACATGAGAAGTGTTTTATATGGATTGGCAAATAATAAATGTTGTTTGTATTGTTATTACAATGCTGATGTTATAAAATAAAAGTGTATGCTGAGACCATAGAACTCCTTTAATCCCTTCCTGCTACCGCCACCCGGCCTTTTAAGAGGTTCCAAATGCTGGGAGGCGGAGGCGGTCATTCCGATTATGTGAATTGGTAGTCACAGCAGTCACATGATTGGAAAGCTCCCAATTGCAAGTATGCATCGGGAGCTTTCTGGTACCCGCCAGTTACTTTTCTGGGAGCACGCATGGAGCATGCTGTTAGCACAGTACTGTGTTTACATATGGACTCGGCATTAAATCCCACCCTCCAAGAGGCCGCATATATGCGTACTGCTGGTGATGACTGGTTAAAAGCTGTAGTGAATGCAATGCAGGGTCATGGGAGACCAGATGTAGTGAATGTAGGGTCCTGGGAGACCAGATATAGTGAATGCAGGGTCCTGGGAGACCGGATATAGTGAATGCAGGGTCCTGGGAGACCGGATATAGTGAATGCAGGGTCCTGGGAGACCGGATATAGTGAATGCAGGGTCCTGGGAGACCGGATGTAGTGAATGCAGGGTTCGGGGAGACCGGATGTAGTGAATGCAGGGTTCGGGGAGACCGGATGTAGTGACTGCAGGGTCCGGGGAGACCGGATGTAGTGAATGCAGGGTCCGGGGAGACCGGATGTAGTGAATGCAGGGTCCGGGGAGACCGGATGTAGTGAATGCAGGGTCCGGGGAGACCGGATGTAGTGAATGCAGGGTCCGGGGAGACCGGATGTAGTGAATGCAGGGTCCGGGGAGACCGGATGTAGTGAATGCAGGGTCCGGGGAGACCGGATGTAGTGAATGCAGGGTCCGGGGAGACCGGATGTAGTGAATGCAGGGTCCGGGGAGACCGGATGTAGTGAATGCAGGGTCCGGGGAGACCGGATATAGTAAATGCAGGGTCCTGGGTTTAGTAACACTTTAAACGGATATAATCAACAATAAAAAAAAAAAAACTTTCACTGGTATATATAAAAGTTATACTTTTATACTTTCATATACATTTTCATATAAGAAAAGTTGATTGCTTGGGTTCGCATACAATATGGGTGGCCAGGGATCCTCCTGTGCCCTAATTGCTCAGCACACAGCTGTTGGGGGAATTATGGCCTATTTATTATAGTGCTCCCTCCAATAGGCCCCATGCCAGAAGATCAGTTGAAAGCGAGGGACCACCAGTAACTCAAGGGTACATATAAAAGCGCCTTCGAAAATAGTAAAAACATTTATAGTTGTTATTATTTGTAAAGAGTCTATACTTGATGCTTTAATGAGCCTTTCTCTGTTTTACAGACGTTGAATCCAAAATGGAACGAGGAGTTCTTTTTCAGAGTGAGTACTTTTTTTTCTTCTTCAATTTCTTGTGCCTAGTTACGGGCTATCTTCTCTCTCCATGTATGCTTCCTGTAGAATGGTCTGGATGAGGGAGAGAATGGAATGAAGAGGCCGGGGTTATTTTTCCACTGTGTTTTGTCCATTAAGTCTTTTTATAGAACTTCAATTGGCTTAGCAGACAGGCTTAATCTCCCTTCTGCAAAGCGCTGGATAAGAGGCGAGTGCATGGCAGGATAAGGCTCGGGCCTGTAGCGGTCTGGGCAGTCCTGCGGGATATAGGTAGTAAATCTCCACAAGTAGCAGATTATGGGGGGAGTATATATTAAAGAGAGATACAGAAACAATTTAAAGGACCGCGACATCCGAAAGTGATATTTCCGTTTTTGTTAAGTGCTGAATATAGAAATTACCTTTGTCTCTCCAGGACAACCAACATTGGTGGGATTTCTGCACTTTTCTTTCTGTTCTCTTAATTTCATATATATAATGTTGATGTTGGCATTAGGAATAGGAACAGCAGCTTTTCTCAACTCTTGTAATACCGAGGATCCCTTCAAAGAAATGTGCATGGCTTGGGGCCCATGCTAATATATTACATCTCTAGCTCATAGCACATTTACGTAGTTAGTAAATTGTAAATATAATAAAACATAAAAGACTAAAGAATGAGGTGTATCCAGCGTATTTTACATCCCTAGCAAATAGCTTTTTTTTAACACTCCTCAGCTTTTTAAGAAAAAAATCTGGGATAGACAAAAAAAAACACCAGTTAGTACACCCCCTACACATTTAATAACATTTTGAAAATCCTTACCATTTAGGAGAAAAGTCTATTTGAATTTCAATGAGCTCATCTCTGTATTTCAAAAGATAACAGCATCTGCTTTGCCAAGGAGGAAGTGTAACAGCCGGGATTACATCATATCCTCTCCTCTCTCTGCAATAAAAGGAAACTACAGTTCCCATCAAGCACAGGGAATTGTAGTGAATGTGGGCGGGTGCACTAGTCCTGTACATGTTGAATGTGTCTGAGAGTCTCAGTCTGCCCATCACTGCAAGTGGGGCTGAACTACATCCCTCCTTCCTGGAGAAAGAACTACAGAAGGGATGTGCCAAGACCAGTAGCTGGGGGAATAGGGGGGCATAGCAGCCACTGGACTTACTAACAGGAAACCAAAGAGAATTAATGGTTTGATATGAAAAACAATAGGCTTATTTCAAAGCAACTACTGAGTGAACCAGAAGATGAATGACAGATATTCAGTGACAGTAGGGAATCAGCAACAATGACATATAAAGAGTTTTTTCCCCGGAGTTCTGCTTTAAGAAACAATCATGAAATGAGACATATAATAATGGGCAGAAAAGAAAAAAATAACAGTGAAAATTGTAGTGCAGCTTACAATTGTGGCCAGTGGAAAAGTGCTGCCTTATACTAGTAGTTGGTGTAGTGGTCCCATACTTTGATACTAAAGAGCCAGCTCGGGCCCTTTATTAAAAGTCAGTAGCTACAGTATTTGTTGCTGCTGATTTTTATTTTCTTTTTTTTTTTCAATCAGACTGAAGATCATCTTTAAAAAAGTTAAGCTATACAATATGTACACTTTAAACACTTAGTGACCGCCCCACATACATTTACTGCAACAGGACAGCCGCTGTGCTCTGCATCACGTATCTGGTATTTGATTAGCTCTTCCAGGTAGGGTGTGCCCGCCACCCTGGCTGTGCTGTGATTTGTTACAGCACATGCCGATCAGCAGGTCCCAACCAATGACTGATCACCCGACCCCGCTGATCGGCTCCATGATTCATGGAAGTGAGCTCTGTGCTGGTAAAGAACACAGAGGTGTGTACACTGACAGGTGATCTTGCTGTATTTTATTCCCTGCACAGCAGGGGAAAAAGATCAAGACCGCTTAGTAAAAGCAGCACACTTTACACATATTACACATAGTTAAGCAAACATTTAACCCCTTGATCACCCTAGATGTTAACCCTTCCCAGCCAGTGTCATTAGTACAGTGACCGTGTATAATCATCGTTATCACTGATCATTGTATTAAGGTCACTGGTGATGTCATTTAGTTCCCCCCCAGCATCAGTGTCAGATTGCCCACCGCACTATCGCAGTCCCATTATAAGTTGCTGATCACCTCCATTACTAGTATAAAAAAAAAAAATAATAATTAAATTCCAGTATATAGTTTGTAGAAGCTTTAACTTTTACGCAAACCAAATAATATACACTTATTGGGATTTTTTTTTTTACCAAAGACATGTAGTAGAATACATTTGAGCCTAAATCCATGAAGAAATGTAATATTTTTTAAAATTTTTATTGTATATGTTTTATGGCAGAAAGTACATGTTTTCCCCAAAATGTTTGGTCTTTTTTCATGTAAATAGTACAAAAAAATGGTGAACAAATGCCACCAAAAGAAAGCTCTATTTGTGTGAACAAAATGATATAAATTTCATTTATGTACAGTGTTGCATGGCCGAGCAATTTTCAGTTAAAGTAGTGCAGTGCTGTATAGCAAAAAATATCCTGGTCATGAAGGGGTTAAAGCCTTATGGAGAGCAAGTGGTTAAAGTGATTGTAAACCATAATTAAAAAAACAAACAGGTTTCTACTTACCTCTTCTGTGCAATGGTTTTGCTCAGAGCAGCCCCAATTCTCCTTTTGTTGGGTCCCCTGACGGCGCCTCCTGGCTTCTCCTCTTCTCGGTGGTACCCCATAGGAAAATGCTTCCTATTGAGGCCCACCTGTATGCTCACTATTGAGCCCCAATGTCTGCATCAGTAGAGACCGACATCAGGTCTCCCCGTTTCCTCATCACTGACTTTGATTGACAGCAGTCGGAGCCAATGGTCCTGCTGCTGTATCTGAGCCATTGAGGAGAGAGACACAGCAACTCTGCTGCTCTTGGGCATGGCATGGTATCGAGATCGGACTCAGGTGAGTATTTAAGGGTTCCAAGGGGAACTATATTCCAAAGGTTTTTTTTCCCTTAATACAAAGAATGCATTAATGTAAAAAAAACTTTAACCTTTACAACTACTTTAAGTCTTTATAGAATGGAATGTTCCTTTATGCCTGTGGTTGACATTCTGTATTAAATATGAGGAAGCTTCTTTTCAGATTTTGTAAGAGCCCTGCTTGGCTTTTACGGTACCTCTTCTGGCTTTCGGCTTTCTCGGTCTAGATCCAGACCAAAGGTTAGTCAAGGATAAGAAAATCTGTTTCCCACCTCACCCGCATTCATAAAAAATAGTTTGCGGAAGGTTTACAATCAGGGTGGTGATATTGTATCTGACATGAAGGCCTTGCAGTTTATTAACTCACCTTTTGTTTAGTTTTCACACTGTATTTACACGCGTTTCCTACAGAGGTTTTACAGTGGGTATGCCTAACGGGTGGGGGATGGGCACATAGCTTTCTCCCTTTCCACGTCACCCCTACCCGGTGAATATGAGACTCCGCTTTTAATGAGGGGCAGCTGCCGGATCAGCCTTCTGTTCCTGGCTGAAAAACGTCCACAAAATTCACTGTAAAGGTTCCCAAAGGTTTGCCGTTTCCATCCTCGTTTTCATCCAGGGAAATTTTGCCCAGTAGAAGTATGTGAAAATGACATTTCATTCCGGCTTGGAGGCAGAGCTGCTCGGTCCCACCACATCAAGCATAACTTGTGGTTGAGCTCTTGACATTCCAAAGCTCAAGTATTCACACTATCTCAGGGTATCAATCAAATGAACTAAATCCATATGCTGCAAATTGTTGCCACATAGTGTAAGCAAAGGGTCATCAGATGCCCTGAGAATTCTCCTATCTGGACACAATCTTGACTCTGTTGGCGCTGGGCAGTGGTGAGCAAATTGTTGATCCACTTAGCTGCCCACAAACCTCACCTGTTTGGCAATCTGCCCTTGTTATAGTCTTCTCTCTGTGTAGCCCTGCATCTGTCCATTTAATAAAACCAGTAACCGTCTCTAACCACTTTAGTTACAATGGACAGACAGCACCCTTAGGCAGGCCATACCAGATTTTTTTTTTTCTTCAACCAGTAGGTTGAGCAAAAGAAAATGTACTGATTCCCCCATCCACACATTTGATGTGGACGGGGTAATCACTCCCACTGAGTTATTGTATCTGCTGGTGGGGAGCCTTCCCTACCGGCAGAATCCAATGATCAGTGTTGCTGGCTATAGTTGGGGCCTCCAGCTTGGAGGCAGAGCTGCTCGGTCCCACCACATCAAGCATAACTTGTGGTTGAGCTCTTGATATTCCATAGCTCAAGTATTCACAATATCTCAGGGTATCAATCAAATGAATTAAATACTTATGTTGCAAATAGTTGCCACATCGTGTAAGCAAAGGGTCATCAGATGCCCTGAGAATTCTCCTATCTGGACACAATCTCGCCTCTGTTGGCGCTGGGCAGTGGTGAGCAAATTGTTGATCCACTTAGCTGCCCACAAACCTCACCTGTTTGGCAATCTGCCCTTGTTATAGTCTTCTCTCTGTGTAGCCCTGCATCTGTCCATTTAATAAAACCAGTAACCA